AAGTCTCTAAATGTAGATGCTAAGATCATATTATTTTTTTTCTTTTGTGAATTACTAGATTATATTCAAGCAAGTTTTCTATAATTTAACATTAATAAATACAATAAGCTTGTATGTTGTTCAACAAGTATGAACTAGCCGAGCGTAATTATTGCAGGGCGTTAATTCACACGGCAATTAACGTATTTATAAGCAGCGAATTAATTGTCCCGTAATCGTATTACAAATAACGGTGCATTGCATCTGATCCAGATTGAATCTAATGGACCGCTTAGTGATCATACAATTAAATTAAATTGTAACATTACATACTTAATACATAAGGAATGCTAAGGAAAATGTTAAATGTCCATACGTTTTCCCTAAACATTTCCATAGACGTTTACGCGAGTGGCTCATAATTTAGAGCAGCGGGTTACCGTTTTTACGTAAATTGGCTATAAGGAAACATTGCGGGAAACAAAAGGGGTCGAGGAAAGGTTTGCATAGAGAGCACTCGGCCTCAGACGAACTGGTGTCATTTACAATGCGAATATTACCCATAGCAAAAATTGTGCACGATCCTAAATCGATAATGGTATGATGGCTGATATATCCGATTTCTGTAATAGTATTGAGGTTTTTATATTTGAAGACGGGGATGGCAAAAGTTGAGACAATAGGAGCAATACGCCTGCATTGAACCTAAGGTTGGGAACTATTAGAGAGTGAGGTACAACTTTTTCAATCTACAGCGTCTGTTCCGGCTGCCGTGGAATTGATTTAAACTTCAGATATCGATAAGAGCCCCGTCATACTATTAACTTATAGTTTCAATTTAAAACAATTTGAAAGGGAGCTAACGCTGCAAGAACTTTTTTTACATAAGGTACATATGATAATAGATTACAATGTTTTATGGTTATCTACTTTTATTATTTCATCTCCGAAAGAATTGGTTTGATATATTGTTTTATTTTAGTTTGACAGCCGGGCGCTCCGCGGCCGACCTTTGCCCTTGCCTCGGTACATTTGCATAGGACAACACTTAACGTGAAAGCTTGCTGGATCATAAAAAATATAACGAAAAAGGCCTCGGACAACGACATTTTTATATGACAAATGTTACATATAATTGACATAATATTGCAAAAGTATATTGGAAAAACCTGGACTAATGATGTTCCTGCTTTTGAATAAAATAGTCATTGCAATCCGCTGTCAAACCCAAACGCTATGGATGACATTAAAAGACTTGCAACAGAATTGATCACCTTTTTAAAGTCAGTTGACAAATGCGTAATTAGAGTTAATTCTAGTCCTTAAGAAAGGCGATATCCGCACTCGTAATCGCCCAAGATGTGTTAATATAAAGCCTTACATTAATGCAAGAAGCTTGTAAACTAAAACGTTATTATTGTGAGTCAATTTAACGTCTCAATACGAATTATAACAGCGTATAACAAGCTATTGACCAAAATTTCACAATTTAATGTCATTATAAGTGTACAGTAAATCCTTTGAGCGCACTTCTTATATCGTAAGTACGACTTTGAAGCTCGGAGCTTACGAGTTCTGATTTCCCCAGACGATGGATTCCCGCAATCAGAGACGATTCACCTGTTGTGCAACTTCCCGTATTTACGATCAAATACAAAATTTCACATTCGACGATATTCAGCGGAGACATCTGCAACTTAACGATATTATCAATTACTGTCGCGATCTCTGACTTTCTCGGAATAAGTTATGTTGGCAGCGATTGCGCGGGCTTTATTTTAGTTATCGATCTGTTGGCAACACTGGTCTGATGATAATCTGTACAAGTTTTTTAGTTTGAACGTGTTCAAAAAGCATGTAAAAATAACCCATTTATTTCTATATTAAGATGTTTTTAGTCAAACGAATAAAGGAAAGGGCTTCCTTTAATCCAGTCTAAATGATCGATTGCTTAATTTCCTTTCCGCGTTTATGGGACGTAGTTTTTTCTGTATATTTTTGCATAATTAAAGAAAAGGGTTTGTCGGGAAAAGAATAATAAAAGTTGAAACATTTGTATAACTCGTCTTTAATTGCCTGTCTCTGAGACTTTCTTTAAATCGTTTAAATATCTACTTATACAAAAGCAAAACAAAGTATTTAAAAATAGCTTTAAAATGTTAAAAGGGTTTTACTAAACAATTGTTTGAATCGTTGGATTGTTTTCGTTTTGATATTCTCGTTTGGATGAGTATAATTTTTATCTTTGTTTCGGGAAATAGTTCTTACATCTTTGAGATGGATAGGTGTAATCGTGTTCTCATAATAAGACATGTTGATTAGAATAACGCAAATCCCGGGCAGCTGTAGCACCTGTTAAATGCAGTGCTGGAACTATTAATCCCGTGGGATTGCGGCGAGCTCGCCCGAGCAGCGATTGGCGATGATAGTTAATTTAGCAACATGAAACATGCATGATCCAAGACTTACTACATCAATGTCCCACTATTCATAACTATTAATGTACTATTAATGTCTTTTTAAATAGAAGGATGAAATGGAGATTGCAAATTATTCTTTTGTCGTCCTTGACAACTCCTGTGTGTTCCATATCGATTTTTCTAATTAATTGGTAAACAATTTAATTGTAACTATTTTAATAATTTGTTAAAGCGAAAATTTAGATGGATGGATATTTGTTAGAGTTTGTAGCCTAAACTGCTGAACGGATCTCGATGAAATTTGGCATAGACGTAGAGGATAGTCTGGAAGAACACATAGACTACTCCCTTTTTTTTTAATTCCATGCGGACGGAGTCGAGAGCGACAGCTAGTCATTTATAATTTATTTGACAGATATGTACTGGACCTGTCTAACGCTGTAAAGGTCCAACCCTTGGACGTCCCGGAGGATAACCAATTAACGTCAAAGCGTGGTCACGATAAATTCCCGCCTTTTTAAGTCCTCCAGTAATTAAGCGGCTCGAAGGCATTTCTTTTGCAAATTTTAATTGTCCCGTCGTAGCGTAACAAACGACTTCACTTTTAAAAATTATAATTGTCATAATTGTCTTTGTGAATACAAGTTTTTGTTAAAATGCTTTGATGTCGTTCTAACTAAATCTGTGTAATTTTTTACTGAAGGCATTATTTGTGAGATAACCCTGAAGATAGGCTATAGTTATTTCGTTCTAAGAGACCTTGATATGCGGTTATAGAAACTATGTTTCCAAACGCCCTTTCAAAGCAAATATTTACAAGTGTTCGTAATTTAAGGTCACATTTTCTTTTAAATAAAAAAATATTTTAGCGATACAAAAGTCATTTTCCGAGCAAAATTAAAGACTAAATATGATATATGTTTCAAGTACGCTTTTGGTCTTTGGATTTTTTTGTATACTTATTATTTTCTGGCTGTATATCTACTTATACTTGGGCCACACCACGAAATGCAGCTATAAGTAACAAATAACGCGAGCTGCAGGCGACCGCTGAATTAGCTTCCCCACATGTCACCGCAGCTGTTTGTTGCAGTGGGAAGAGGAAATTACATTCGCAATTAAGCACAAAAAGCTCTGCCGTTTGTCAGGTAACCACACGACACGAGAGCTTTAAAAAGGTCAATGAACTATTCATTGTAAATGAGATAAGTTGTTCGTCATTGTCTCGTCGTTACAACTTTCAGTCTTAATAAAACAAAATGGTTTCTGCAAGTATTCATTATCGGCCGTGTAGTTTACCTTAAAAACACTCGTCAGGGATCAACAGTACACAAAAAATATTAGAAAACTAAATAGTATACAAGGTGTGGCTTACGTTCTCGTTCCTCAACTCCTCAGCTATCTGAATAAAACATTTTTCATTCTTGCACTCGTAATGAGAGTTGGCCATTCACTCTCGAACGGAATGAGTAAGTGTAAAAAGAGCGCTCTAAGAAGCCCTGTGCAAAGTCATTATGCATAAGTTACTTTTTATGGCATTTGAAGATTCAGTTTTGTTGAACACTTGTGCGCTAAAATCTTTTGTTATATTCCAAGATGTTTTTGCTTTTGCATTAATAATTTAAGCGTTTACATTTATATTTTATATCAACAAACTAACTTATTCAAGTTTTTGCTATTCTATAACGGTAGGAGTCTTCATAAACAACGAAAAAAGCTAAAATCGTAAACTAAACCTAAAGATGTGAACAATGCTTGGCTATACATAACATTTATACTTCGTTTAATATTCATATACTACAATCTAAAGATGTTTAAGAGTTTTCTTGAAACAATATATAAAAGGCAATCGCTCTTCGCTTATAAATTAGAACATTTAAGTTGTTTTTATAGTAATTAGAACGTTTAGTTATCAGTGTAACGTTGAAAAGTAGATCTACTTCTTAAGTACGGGATTATGAAGCTGAAACATTAACAAGAGGAATTTTAACTCCATTTTATAGTTAGAAGGGAGATATGAACCTTTCACTTTCAATGTATAAAAATCAAAAAGATACGACAGATTAAAAAAATGTTCAAACAAAAAATGTCACATTTTCGCAACATCTGGATAAAATTATCCACAAAAGAATAATATTTTACAGTTGCCACTTAATTTTTCATTCGGGAACGTCCAAGCGAGTAGGGCTGTCAACTATGAGACGAATGTCATGTTACTCGTATGTATGATCGTCGTCTACTTTAGTAAGCCAAATCTGCATTTAAGTACCTTTTAAGTAAGCATTAAACGTCCTTTAGTGACGTGGTCATATCTAGCTATATTTTCTGTTTTAATACTGAATTAATGTTATGTGTATATTTGACGTTGACAGCCCTAACACAAAGCTGTATCTCATTCAAGCCGCGTGTTTCAGTCATTTGTGATTCCAACGAACACGACACCAGGGGAATGAAAATCTTCATTTAAAATGTATATTTTATTATGTATTTACAAAATGTCAACAAATTCGTACATCAATTACAACTAAAGAAGAGGTTATAAAGTTCTAACATTTATATACAGGTGTGGCAGCTCCTTAAATCTCCTTAGTTTAAAATTTACATTGAACACAAGTCATGAAAAGTTAATTAATTGTTTAATTTATTAGTAGTATCCGAGCCCACCGTATCCGCCGAGACCGCCGTATCCGCCGTATCCACCATATCCACCGTATCCGCCGTATCCACTGTGACCTCCGTATCCATTGTATCCATATTTGTAAGGTCCACTGCCGTAGTAACCGTAACCGATATTTCCGCCATAACCTAAAATAAGGCATGTTATTTTAAGTCTTAGTGCTATAATAATAAGGTAAGAGAATGAAGCTTAAGATGTCGGTAGAGACCCATTATATACGGCTACATTAAGGCCATGTCCCACGATTCTTGTAAATTTGTCAAATAACAATCGAACGTATAAAATATGTGATGGAAGTATCGGATTTTGGTACTCTACTCTATCTGACAGTGAGGTCACTTATACGTTATTTGAGCCTCTATCAGCCAGTGGTGGTACAGGCCCTAAATATCACGATTCTAAATTATTATCAATGTGGTACGTTTAAGATTAACGTAAAACGTTCTCACTTACCGGAGTACCCGACCAGACCGCTGCCTACTCCGTCTGTAAACAAATACAAAATGTATTACATTAAATAATACGAAATGAAATATTAACAGGTTTAAAACCATGTTTTAAAGTATTATTCTTATTTTCTATTGCTCTGTATGATATTCTTAAAGATAATGTTTACAATATCTTTTTATTCAAGCGTGACCAATTGTTGAAGCCAGATGAAGCTGCGCTGCGCTGGGCCGCGCCGCTCCGCCTGCGCCGTGTCCGTGTCGCACGAGCGCCCGCGAGCAGTGTTCAATGTTCAATATTCAATGTTAAGGTTGATGTAATAGTGTAACAATGTACAATGTTAAGGTTAATCCAGTTTTATAATTTTTATATTGATAGGTTATTTTTATTATTAAGTTCCTAGAGTTTAATTTTCAGTTAAAATCTAAATTGTGGTATACTATTTTTCAATATGTGTTTTCTTGTCGTATTTACTTACGACGTTGATGTATATTTTTAGTGTCATTATGTTTCGCTTACCCTAATTTTACTAACAACTAAAGTGTTCAATTTGAATAAAAACGCAACTAACACGTCAACTGCAACACGAAGACGATTATTCTCTGGATCGTTAAGTTTTATGGAAATTACTCTTTTAAAATAGATCCTACAAAAAATAGATTAAGTACA